CATCATCAGTTCTTAAATTCTTAAGCAGCATTTAGGCTTATCTATATAGGAATACAAAATACACACTTGGAGAAAGGATTAACAATAGTCTCAATCCATAAAACTCCCTCCATCCTAAATTATAAGATATTTTTAGAAAAAATTCAACATTTCAAAATATAAGATACTTTAATAAAATAAGGTTTCATTAAGAATACTTTTTTAATATTATCATTCTCATATATTCTCTCTCTTCAATATTATTTCATCAATAGAGCATCAAATGAAGGACATTTTTGAAATTTTATATTTTTATTTGAAAAAGTAAAGTTGTAAAATGTATTTAATAATTTTTATTGGCATGTGAAATTTTATCTAAAAGTATCTATTATTTGAAATAGAGGGAGTAGTATTTTTTGTGGTCCAACTTATAACACTTAGGATCTTGATTTTCTCAATTGAGATTAACAATAATCCCAATTTAAAAAGAAAAAAACAAAAAAAATAATAATCCCAATCCAAAAAAAAAAAAACAAAAAAAAAAAACAATAATTTTAATCCATGGTAGTACTTTTAGTCATGTTTTTTCTTTTCTTGATTTTTCAATTAGTTTTCCTATATATTAATAAGCATAAAAATTCGTAAGTTATTGGTTTTTATATTTAGAAGTGAGTTTGGTAAAGTTTCAAATGATTATTGTATATTTATAAGTGTTTTTTAAAAATTTCATAAGTGAATTTTAGTTTCATACAAAAAAAACAACTCATTATCAGATGTAAATCTTGATTTTTTTTAACTAAGATTAATAATAGTTTCAATTCATTATAGTAATTTTAGCATAATGTCTTTTTTTATTTTCCCCAAAGAGAGCAATTTGTATACTCATATGTTTTTAATTCTAGATAAAAATCATGGTCAATTATAGGGATTTCAATAATTCAAGGTCACTAATAGTGATTAATGATCTTATGATATTCTTTATTGTCATTTTCCCTAATTTTAATATATACACTCATAACCAAATAAATATTATCAGCAAACCCAGAATAACATCCACTCTCCTCATTGGAACCATCATCATCCACTACTAAAACATTTACACCATCAATCTTCCAGTTTACTACCATCAGAACAACAATCAACCTTCCAGAAACCACCATCGAGATCAAAGGGCAGAGATTAACAATTAACCATTCAAAATCATCATCCACTTTTAGAAATCAAGGGGCAAAAATCAAAATCGAACCCTTTACACACAATACTGCCTCTTCTAGAAATCAAGGTACGTAATGGGAATGCAGAAGAAGCGGAGATTGTGTTTTGGATTTCAAAATAAGAGGGGCATAATACTACTTAAATGGGGGGTACAATGGATATCTTGGTATCAACTCCGTATAAGCATGAAAATTCCATGCATGTTTCCCTTTTTAGAAGCCTAATTCAACAATACCAAATATGCAACGACATCCATTTCAATTTCATTAATTTCTATTTCCATCCTCAAAATTTTCGAGTTCCAAACAAGGTACTTTCTTAATATCAAATTATAATATATTTTAAATAAAATTACACATATCAATAAAATTTATTAAATACAATTTATAACTTTATTTTTTCAAAACAAAAATATAAATTTTTAAAAATATTATTTATTTAATACTCTATTTATAAAAGAACGTTAAAGAGAGATAATATAATGAAAAAAATAATATAATAAAAATATTACTATTGAAATATTATTTTGCATGATGTCTTGGACAAGAGTTCAACATGGGCGAGCATGTGTGTGTGTGTGTTTTTTTTTTTTTTTAAAGGATATGTGTATATATATGTTTAAGAATGTGAAAAAGACACTATCATTAATCAAATGATGAGAAGCAAGACAATCACAAAAGGAGGTCAGCAATCTTTCAAGATCCTCAAATCTCCATTCCTCACACAACAAAAGGAAGGGTAATCAAAGACACACAAAATAATATATCCAGGTAATAAGCCAGTCTAGTTACGTTGTTTGTATCAAATGAATGAAAATATTTCACTCTCTATTCAAAAGATAGCTACAACAATAATATATTGAAAAGGGTGGTCCTGATTTAAGATTGAAAGAAGGGACTTTCCTTTTCTCTTCACTTTCCTCATCTCCACCTTTCATATATTATTTTGTTAAATAGTCTTTTTTAAAAGATAGAATTAATGAAAGGTGAAGATGGGAGAAATGGATAGAAATGAAAAGAAAAAAAGGAGTCTCTCTTTCTCTTAAGATCTCTAGTAATTAAATTTATGGGCTTCACACAATAACTATACACTTTCCCATGCTTCAATACAAGCGTCCATCATAATTCTAGATATTTGTAATACTCCCTTTGTTTTTTATTATAAACAAAAACTGTTATATGTCTCATTTATTAAGTCATCAATAGACCTTAAAGTAAATATGTTGTGAGCGATCTTAAAATAATTATTCATTTTTATATAAGGAAATGGCAATTGTCAAAAGCATTTATTGCATTTTTTTATCAAATTACCTCTTATAAAGTCAATGTTCATTTTTATGAGAAAAATTTGTTTCATTAATTATAATAATAGTTTAGTTTAATTTTTTTTAATTTCAGACATAATTATTATATTTAACTAATTTTTTAAAATTATTTGAGAGTTGATTATTTTTCTCTTATAGTATCCTCCCTCTATTTTTATATATAAAAAATAATTATATCACACAGTTTAAAAAAATTTAATTAATAGTAATAATTGTGTTTGAAAATAAAAAATTAAGTTAAAATACCTTTCTTAATCAAAATAAGAAGGCATTCATTGTTTGTTAATAAAAACGGAATAATAGCTTGAATCTTAGCAATAGCATTAACAACTGATTAATATTACTTGAGATAGATTAGATGTGTAAATTTAGAAAGAGTCCATTGACTGCAAAGTTGAAATACTTGACTTAATCTTAACAGTAATTTTTTTGGCCGAACTCAATCTTTACAGTAATTACAACCCCATGCCAGCTGGACAAACAATAAATGAAGTTGTGAATGACACTATTAAATATACCATTTATTGTAGTATTTAAATCACCAAAATTGGATCTTGTTTTACATATGCAAGATGTATTGATTATTTCTCAATTTGTATAATAATCTATATTGATTTATATATTTGTTTTTTTAAAAAATAATGTTTCCATCGTTTAAAATAAATGGCCACCAAACATAATTATTTAATGAACACCGTGTGAACAAAAACCAAGAAAATGGCGACCAAGTTAGTCAATTTATTTTTTTTAATTTTATAAAGAACGGATCTTAACATGATAAAATTAATAATATCCACTCATATAAAATAATATAATTTGTTTTGAGAGAGTCATATCCATCTGGTGTCTTCCAATAATACTAAATACTAAATAGTTATAAATACATCAAAATTAAATTAAAAATACAAATATATTAAATTAAATATATGAACACTCCTTCCATGTACCCATTCAATTTATCTTTAAATGATTCCACAGATGTTTAGTTTTTACAAGTTGCAATATTTATTCTCAAAGAGAGTTGTTTTTTTTAAGGGGGGGGTGGTAAATAGAAGAGTTGTATTTAAATTACTTGAGACAAAAAGTCAATGATAGGGGCACAGAGGGGTCTTTATCTTGGCCTAAAAGACAGCTGGAGGGAAAAATTGTCCTTTTTTAACCTTTTATTATTTATATTAAAATTTGTCATTTTATTTAATCACTTTTTATTTTTATTTATATAAATAAAATAACATCAGAACTATGAAATTATATTGATATATTTTATCATTTTGAACTATAATTTTAAAAACTAGACTGAATATTATATTGACAGTCAGACACTTAAATTGTAGTCCAACCTTTCTTTGACGATTATGATTAATTTAATATTTTTAAATAATATATATCTGAATCATAAAATTAAGTTCATCCATAATTATAAAACTAATTTAAATATAATATATATATATATATATATAATAAACTTAAGTAAAACAAGAAAGGGATAAAACATAAAATCTTAGATAAAATTGAGCAATAAAAACCAAGGTACGTAAAACCGGACCGGTCATTAAACCGATCATGGCACTGGGCCACGGGTTAGTGGTTCAATCGGGGTTGAACCGGTGGCAAACCGGTCATGATTAAAATAATACAATTTAAATAAAAAGACATTAATTATAAAAATATTCAACCAAATCCAACCACTCAAAAGTCTAACAATAATAAAATACTATATTTTTGGACTTAGCATGCTCTATCTTTAATTTTTCATTTTTTTACTTCAATTTTACTTTTTTTGTTATCTTTTTTCCGAACTCAGAGCTTTGAAAAATTAAAAATGAAAAAAAAAAATCAAAAACGACGTCGTTTTGAGGTAAAAGTCTGAAAAAATATTAACTCGGTTAACCCAGTCAACCCACCGGGTTATCCGGGTTATACCGAGTTGAACCCGGGTTGATCGGATTACACCGGTTTACTCCCTCACTGGGTTAAGAGCCAACCCAGACCGGACAGGGGACCGGTTCACCGGTTTTCGGGTTGACCCGGCCGGTTTGGTCCGGTTTTCAATATCATGATAAAAACATGTTGGGATGCTGTAAAGATTCAAAAGAGACGTTTTCAAGATTTAAATCTCATGTTCAGTCTTTACTGATCATTCAACATGTCACTGTGATCCCTTTAAATAATTATATATAAATACATACACATACATAAAATATTTATTCATTTTTGAATAATATAATACAAAAAAGAAACAAGCTCAAAGTTAAGCAGAAATGACTATTTTTTTTTTGAAAATTAACAAGGTTACTTTAGCTGATAAATAAATTTATAAAAATAAAATAGTCATATTTTATTTTATTTTAGTTAATAATTTAATTAAAATAATCATTTTTAAAATTATAATAACAATATATTTTCTGTCAAAAATTAAAATGTCTTTTTCCTTTGAACGGATACAACCGAGGAGGGTGCCGATGTCGTTTGGCAACGTCGTTGCCTTGACCCAAACTATCATCGCTCTTCAGAGGCCTTCACGGATCCAACTGACCGGGATCTCTTCGCGCTCTCCTCCACTCTGGGCCTGGATCCGCCGCGTTTCTCACCGGAAGGAAAACGACGGCGGTTATGTCCTCTATCATCAAGGTACTCATTGCTGACTTTCTTTCAGTTTCACATATCTTTCTTCTCATTCTCTTTCTATTCAATCTTTCATCCATTCTTGAACGTTTGAAGAGAACTGGGACAAGGGGAAAAATAAAAGAATGATACTTTAATTCATCTTCATTTGTTTTCCTATGTGTGAAATCAGTTAATGTAACTAACTGTGCACCGGAGGCTCCAATTTTTATCTAGGATAAGGATTTGTTCCCGTGTTTTTGCCCCTTTTTTTGTGAGCCCTTTGAAGCGATAACTTATGTTCTTGCTAATTTTAATTATTAGGCAATATTGTGTGATCTCCAGGTTCTGTGGACAATTTGAAGTTTTCATGGCCTTAAGCTTGCTTCCATCTTGTGAATCCCATTATTAGTGAGAGCAAGCTGTAGGGCTGTTGATTTGAATAGAATAAGCAAAGTAAATGCTTGGACCTAGAAGTGCAGGTGAAGAATGTGCAAGATGACGATGAGGTTCCCCAAGCGTTACTTGATTGTTATTTTGACCTTCATCTGCACATCAGTTTGTTACATAGAACGGGTTGGCTTTTCGATTGCATACACTATAGCTGCTGATGCTGCCAAAGTGAATCAATCTAGTAAAGGGGCAATACTTTCTACATTCTATTATGGATATGCTTGTTCACAAGTGCCAGGAGGATGGGCAGCTCAGAAAGTGGGGGGTTGGAAGATCCTTCTTCTTTCATTTGTGTTGTGGTCAGCAACTTGTGCATTGGTTCCACTTGATCCTAATAAAGTATTAGTATTGGTGATAGCAAGATTGCTTGTTGGTGTGGCCCAAGGGTTTATATTTCCCTCTATACACACAGTTCTCGCACAGTGGGTTCCTCCTCATGAAAGATCTCGCTCTGTTTCTCTTACGACATCTGGCATGTACCTCGGTGCAGCACTAGGAATGCTTTTTCTTCCTAGTCTGGTGAAGTTTAAAGGTCCTCAATCCGTATTCGTTGCTGAGGCAATACTGGGTGCTTCATGGTCGTTACTTTGGTTCAAATATGCGAGCGATCCACCCCGTGTTGAGCATCCAAAAGCAACTGGGGAATCCTTGTTGCCTATTAAAGGGAGCCACAGAAACAAAGTTGAAAATGGAAGAGTTTCAGTTAAAACAACAAAAATCCCTTGGATTAAAATTCTAACCAGCTTGCCAGTCTGGGCAATTGTTGTCAACAATTTCACTTTTCATTATGGTTTATATGTGTTGATGAATTGGCTGCCAACATACTTTGAATTGGGCCTTCAACTTAGCCTTCAAGATATGGGTTCTTCTAAAATGATGCCCTATCTGAATATGTTCATATTCTCAAACATTGGTGGGGTTGTAGCTGATTATTTAATCACCAAGAGAATAATGTCTGTAACTAGAACCCGGAAATTCTTGAACACCATTGGATTTCTTGTTGCTTCCCTTGCTTTAATGGTAATTCCCATTTTCAGAACTTCGGGTGGTGCTGTCTTCTGTTCTTCTGTTGCTCTTGGTTTCTTGGCACTAGGCAGAGCTGGGTTTGCGGTGAACCACATGGATATTGCTCCAAGATATGCCGGAATCGTGATGGGAGTTTCTAACACTGCAGGTACATTAGCCGGCATAGTCGGAGTTGACCTTACGGGCAAGCTTCTTGAAGCTGCTAAAACTGCTAATTCAGATCTTACAAGTCCTGAAAGCTGGAGAGCAGTGTTCTTCATTCCAGGCCTGCTATGCATTTTTAGCTCTTTAATATTCTTACAATTTTCAACTGGAGAGAGAATTTTTGACTGAGGTAGGCATGCCGATTGATGGTAGCACGGCTCATTGGCTATGCTATTTATCTGGAGATTGGATTGTTTTATTTGTCCAGATTATACCATTCTTGGACAGGAGAGATCATATACCAAGTTTCGTAGCTCCAGCCCCTAAGCAACATTGATGATGTTCTGTTGTTTTTTAATGTAGAATTTTTTCTTACAAACTTGTACCATTCATAGATATCGTAAATGTATAATCATATTGGAAATTCAGGAACCTCAATTCCACAGCCATAGCTATCAAGAAATAATTTGGGGGCAGAGCTTATACTGTTACATGCTTTAGAGCAAGGAATTCTACTGCTAGGGATTTTCTAGAAAGAAATTAATTAAAAGATTTTAAAAATCGTGATTATTTTTTAAAATTAAAATTATTATTGGATTTAAGAAACCTGTTATTACTTATTAGGTTCTAAAGTAATTATGGTCAACATTGAGAAAAATGAAAATAAGAAGGTTGTTGTTGTATTTAAAAAAAATGAAAGGTTGTCCTTTTTTTTCTTTTTTAAGTATTTTGAGATCAATATTTTTTTTGGAAATTTTGCCAAAGATCCCTATTGCTTTAAAGAACTTGGAATTTGTTTAAGGACTTTGGTTCTTTAGAAGAACAAAGATTAATAGTTAGATTATCAAAATGTTCATGCTTAATCTTTCAAGACGTTCATTTCTCATAATATCTAGTTGCATTTTTATGAAAATTGAAAATATATTCAAATATCCATAATTGTTATCATGAAAAAGATAGAGAACTTTTTGAAATATCCAATTATGTTTTCATGAAAATTGGAGATATATTCAAATATTTGTGAATGTTACCATGAAAGTTAAAGGTATATTCAAATGTATATAATAGATATCATGAAAAATGTTCTCATTTCTTATGTAATATTCTCTTATATATGCAAATAAATTTCTTACATATATGTAAGGAAGCTACCATTATGCAAAATATTGTCATGACGTTTCATATTTTTTTGGGTGCAATAAATCTTTCATGAAATATAATTTTCTTTTGTTATACACAAATATCTTTTGTTAATGTGCCTTTTCTTTATCCATATGCAAGGTCTTCATGTGATATGCAACACTCTCCTATCAAGTGCAAAACTTTATCATCTCCTCAAGTGCAATGCATCTTTCACGATATTCAAATATGTTCCGTTGTGTGCAAGTGTCTTCCATTGGTACACATTTTCTTCCCTAGCATATTTAAGGTTCCCACAGTTTATCTTGGTCTTTAAGGTTCCCAGACATTGACACCAGAAGATCTTGGTCCTTCCATAGATTCCAGTTCTAGATACCTTACAGTAATAAAAATTGTGCCATAAGTAACCTCCAAATTTTGGACCATGTGACATGTGTCATTCCAAGCTGCCTCTTGCAAAGCTATATAATAGGATTTGACAGTAAATTTTTCATTAACACTAAGATTCCAAGTGCAACCTAGCATAATTGGTTCAGCCATATTAATTGATATCTCAACAATCTTATCTTGCAGAATTCTTTGTTTTAGTAAGACTAAATGCTTTGTGGCACACTCGTATTTGAATTAAGAGGGAACAGAAGGTACCATCAGAAACGCTTGGCTTTATGGTACGAGAGTTATACCAGCTTAACAAGGGATATTGACTCAATTCGAATTGGTATGGACTTCCATTAAGTCCTTTCAACTCGGTGTGAGGCAGGTCCATCACATCAGATGCTCCATGCATAAAAAAAAAAAAAAAGAACAGAGAATTGAAGGAGTGTGCTGGTCTTGTGACGTGAACTTGATTTTAACCATCCGTTAGTACAGGATCTCCTGCGTATGAGATCTGTGATGTAATTTAGTTGCTGACTTGCTGTTGATTCAAATTCCATAAAATGTGTCCCATGCTAGACTTCAAAATGTTTTGGCTTGTTTCCATTTGATAGAAATTAAACTCAGGTCGGCATTCCTTCCACATGCTTGTTCCAAAAGTTGAGACAGGCCATGAAAGCTATCATTCTGTAAAGCTGGGAAAACTATAGATGCAAGTGAATTAATATTGTTGGTTGACATCCAAGACCATATAAGCAAATGAAATATATCTTGTTCTCTTCCTTCATAGCCGCTCAAACGCACATATCCATACACAAGCCCTTCCAATATTGCTAATGAAAAAGGTAAGTACTAGTGGTATGGCAGTCTTATCTGCCATTAGAGTAATCAACTATTCCATTTGCTCAAAATCTTCTTCTAAATAATGGTCAATCATTGAACAGCCAGCAAGACTAGAACTTCTCAAGGATTTTAACTTGTAGAGATAGTTCTTGGAAGAACCCTGAGGCACTTGTAGTCTTTTAAATTTACCAGAAGATGTTTCAGATCTCCAATGTTTTGGTGAACTAACATCAAGCTAGGACAATCTTTGAGCACTAGCTTTTCAAGGTCTGGTAGTTTTGTAACATTACGTTTTCAACCTATCAAACAACTACAAAGACATGGAAGTTCAACTTTCAAGAGAAACTCCATATTGTAACATTTGGGCCTTGTTTGATTGTTAGAAAGAAATGGAATAAAGGAGAATGAGTTGATATAAAACAAAATAAACTAAATTTAAGGTTGTGTATTGATAGAGAGGTGATGACAACATAAAAATGAACTAAACATTTTTCCGCTTTTGGTTGCGTGTACAAGCATTTTTTTTTTGGGACCAATATAATAAAATTATGACTTATTAAATACATATTATGACTTATTAAATACATTATAGAGGAAACTAAACTACCTTTTGCCTATTGACATGCGTATTTTTTGAAGGGATTGCGACTGTATGTGAAGGAACAAGGAGCTGCACATGCAACCAGTTTTTGGCAGTTCCACGTTACATACATGGTTTCTTCTACTTGTTCTTTACTTAAGCCTCTTTTTTTATTCTTGATCTTCAACTTCCTTATAACGTAAAGGATACAAAACGATCAACATATATATGGTCTTTCACTGATGCAATTAATATTATTCTCGCATGACTATGCTCTTGTGACTGGAATCTTTATCATATACCAGAAGCTAGGTTGACGGTGATGACCTGTAATAGTACTCTGTTATGTTTCTCTTTCTCTTTCTGCTTTGAATCCATTGTAGGATCAGTATTAAAATCATGATGATCACCCTTTCTTGTTTATTGTGTTTAAATTTCTGTAGTGACTAATTTGAACAACTTGCTTGATGTATGTAGGATGACATAAGCATGTTATTTTAATAGATTTTTTTGATCATGTGATCTTTAGTTAGTCGTGGTGGAAATTACAAACTCTTAACTTGAACAACCATTTATTCCTATGACGAACCTCGATGGGGGACAAAAGGCATTGATTGATAGATTCCTTTTTTTTAGATTGCAAGATTCAACTCTGAATGTTTGATTTTCCAAATTCATGCCTCCATATATGATTACATCACAGTAATTGAGATCGTGTTTTATTTGGCGAGGGTCAATATATCACAAAGCAAAATATTCCAGGAGGAGGAAAAAAAAAAGAACCAGAGAGTCCCACATCGTCCAGTGTCGACAACAAAATCATTAGACATAACTGCATCGCGGGCGTTAATGGGATTCTCGCCGAGCTGAGTTGCGTCAGCTTGTTACCCAAAGTAGGCGGGGGCATTAAGGCAGTGAAACACGGCTGCGGCTTCAGCTGGGCTGGACCGGGTGATGCTCCTTGTTGGTTTGCCCGATCATAGAAGAGAGTTGAGCCGCGGGGTTTGAGCAGAAAGGCGCGCTTAAATCCCGTGAGCTCTTTGGCGAAGAGGACATTGAGTGAGCTGGCTTTACAGAGCGGCGAACCACCTCCGGCTCTCTTCAGTGAAGGGATTACAGGCCGAGGCTCTTCTGGTCCACAATGCCCAGTTGGACCACTGTTTTTTGGAAATGGCCCAAAAATGGACCGATTACTCTTCAATATTTTCCAAAAATTAAATAGTAAAATGTAAAATTATAAAAACAAAGTAAATAAACTTAGGGTATAAAAAATCTAAAGCAGGGGGAAAAATTATGTGTGTGTATAAATATTTCATTTGCTTTATTATTTTGGTTAAAGAATATTTTTTGTCCTCTAATTTCATTCAAGTTTTAATATGACCAGTGCATGTATGCTTGTGGCTTTGTGCCAACCTATTGAGGTCCTACTTAATATGCTGATTCTTCTTGGTTATTGGCAGTGGTTTCCTGGTCATAATGCAAAAACTTAAAAAAAAAAAAAAACTTAAGGCGCAGCTCAAATTAATGGATGTTGCAATAGAATAGAAGTGCAGGATGCTCGAATTTCTATGTCCACAAGTCATCTGTAGGTAGAGTCGAGAATAAGGACCGAATCTGAAGAGTGAGGCTTAAAGGCCCTATTTAAATAAGGATTCAGGCTTAAAAAAATGAGAGAATTAGAATAAAAGGGCTTATAGGTTGGCTCTGATAAGCCCTGAACAAAAGGCTTGAATGCGGGCGGCCCTCCAAACCTAATTCTATTGTTTTTTCTGTTATACCTTGGAATGCACTGTTTAACAAATAGGGAAAAACCTTAAACGTTCGACTATTTCAAATTTTCTAGCTCTCTTCATCTCTGGATACTCAACTTTTCCCTTTCGCCCTTTCATTTCCTTTAGCTGTCTTACCTCTCCCTCTTGCCACTCTAGCTCTCTCCATCTCTCGATTTACCTCTCCCTCTTGTCTCTTGACTCGGAGTTTCTTGACTCAGTGTCTCCCTCTCAGCGTTCCATCGCTTCGTTTTTTCAACTCTCTTACTCTTAAGTAATTCCTCTTCTAACATAGACCTTTTTATTAAGGCCATGGATGTCTAAGATTCAATTTGATGCTCTCTTTTAATATTTCAATTTGATTTTGAAATTCTGATCCCTCATCTCATTCTGTGAGGATTGTATTAATATGCCTCACATATTTTATTTATGGAACTTTGTTGTGAATTTTGATGACATTAACTAATATATATTTAGACTTTAAAATATTTTATTTATTTTTTAGATGATGTGAGACTTTAATTTAGTTTATGTTAAATTTTAGAATTAAATTAAAATGTTAAATATTATGATGTTGAATTAAATTTATTTTCTAGAAGAGCAAAATTAAATTATAATATTAATTTTTTTAAATTTTTTTGTAGACTGAGCTTTTGGGCCCAACCCTAATCCCATTTAGTAAGGGCCAAACCTCAAGATTTGCTTTAAATTTAAAAAATCTGGCTTTAAGGTCTAGGCCCTCAAGGATTGGGCCCGCCCATTTTCTCATTTTTA